GTGGCCGCAGCCTCCGTGATGGATAATAATGAGCTCGCCCTGGCTCTGCGGGAGCCAGATCTGGAAAAGGTAGCGGCACTGCTGCCCCGGGTGTTCGTGTGGGTCACACTTGTTCACAGCTGTTTCTCACGATATTTAAATATAACTGTACTGTGGCTGCTGTTATACTGCTACAGTTACAACGTACACTGTGTTATACATTTGTCACATGCATAACGTTATAGTTGTAAGCTGTAAAGAACAAGAAGTAGGAGATAAGGTATTTCCTCTGATCACGAGTTATCTTCCAGAAAGAGAATCAGCTCTCTCCATACTTGTGAGTGTTTTTGTCTTCTCACTGTAATCTGCTGTCACTGTTGCTTTAATTATACAGTTTCAGTTTCTTAAAAGGTTGTTTCAGCATCTTATATGTACAATTTATATTACTCAGAAGTTTGCATGTTACAGTGCAAGGTATCAGTGACATACGAAAGGCCATGCACTCTAAGCATATTAAACCACATATATGTTTGCCAAAATATAGATGTTTCCCCACATTTTAATTGCAGTTGCATTCTAAGTGGTCTTCTGGATCTCTCCCTTGCCCCCCCACTTAGCAGCCAGAGGGAACCTCTTGAAAGGATCATATTAATCCTCTGCTCACAACTCTCCAGAGGCTTCCTATCTCACTTTGAGCAAAAACTAAAGGCATTATAATAGCTCCTACCCCATACGATTTCACATAATCAGTCTTATTTCATGTCCTGCAACTCTCCTGGTCTCTCTTTTTGCTCCAGCCACACTGGACCCCTTGCTGTCGCTGGAGCTTACTGGGTATGCTCCTGCCCCAGGGCCTTTGCACTTGCTGTTCCCTCTATTTGCAGTATTATTCTGTTAGACAGCCTCCTGGCTCTTCTCCAAACATCCTTCCAGTCATTGCTCCACAGCCACCTTCTTTTTAGCTCCTCCATGGCCATACTATAGTTTAAATATTTATGGTTTAAAATTATATTTTAATATAAATATGTTTTACCAAAATCATTATGTTTATGTATTTTTCAAAACGAACTCCTTACCATAATGTAAGGCCAGTGAGTTCAGGGCATTGTTTTCTCTGTTGCTCACTGCTTTGTCCCCATCTCGAGAGTAGCATTGGCACTGGGTGGGCACTTAGTGCATGGCTGCTGAAGTCATGAAAAAATGAGCTCTTCCCCAAATCCTCTGACCTGCTGGTCAAGGACTGTGAAGCCCTGCATCTTTGCCTGACCTCCAGGGGACTTCCTCCCATACATAATCGGAGAGCTCATTATCTACACACTGATAAGGCAGCTGATATTGAGAGGCAGACGTGCCAAACGCTGAGCAGGGTGTGGAGCACCTAGAACCCTCGCTTACTGCTGTCGGCATGACAAGTGGTTAAGTCAGTTGGAAAACAGTTTGGCAGTTTTTCAATAAGTTAAACGTGCATCTGTCATCAATGTACACCTAACCTTTCCGCTCTTAAATGTCCACACAAAGACATGTACGTGAATGCTGATGATGGCTTTATTCATCTGAGCCAAAAACTGGAGACAACTCACATGTTTATCAGCTGGTGAATAAATAAAACTGGGGTATTTCCAGATGCAGAAGAACACTGTTCTTAGGCTATAAAAAGGAATGTAGTCCTGACACATGCTACAGCGTGGATGAATCTCAAAATCATTACTCTAGTGAAAGAAGGCAGGCCCAGAAAGACCCACACTGGGTAGCTGCACGTGTCAGTGTCCTAGAACACGCAAGCTAGCTGGTCGTGGCAGGAGGCAGGTTGTCACGGCTGAGGCTTGCAGGGACGGGTGGGCTGCAGAGGGCACGGGGCCTGAGGGGCATGTTCTCAGCTCGGTTACTTGCCCTCTTACAGGGGGATGACTCTCTCAGAGCTCACTGAGTTGATCACACAAAAATTACACCTCAGTAAGGATGATGTAAAAGATTTTTAGCTGTATTATTTGTTTGTTTTTAAGACTGACCTAGCTTGGGACTGAGCCGGGTATAACTTTGGTAAGTTGCTCCTCTAATGATCCGCTGCCATCAGGAGTGACTCCGTGAGGGATCTCCTTTAAAACTGGTTCTGTTGTGAAATCTTGCCAAGGACCAGCATTCTTGTAAGACAGAATATGTTCAAAGGCAAAGCTAAGCAGAAATTTTAATGTGTTCAAGAGTACAGAAAGGTAGTATTATCCGAAAATTTGGAAGTAATTCACTTCTTTAAAATACCCTTTTGTCTCAGATAGATTAAGGTTTTATGCTGGGCCAGAGGTCATTAAGCATTTTTGAGGTTTACCAAGTATGACTTCTGTGGGTAAAAGTCTCAAGTGATGTGAAATTTAGGAATAGTTTTCTTTCATAGAGTTGGTCCATATACATTTTTACTATGATAGCACTTGGTTGTGATTTATCAGTATTTCTCAATTCTAAGGTGTTACTAATGGAAATTCCTGTCGATTGTCATATTAAAAAGAACTTGCATAGATGCATTTGTTTTAAACCATCCTTTGAAGATACCATTTAGCACGTCTAGCGCCAGCATCTAAGTTCTCACAAGGCGGTAACGCTCTTGCTTACCCTCTTTGCTGTAGGTGGTCCGCTATCTGGCTGGCTGTGGACTGCAGAGCTGCCAGATGCTGGTGTCGAAGGGCTATCCAGACATCGGCTGGAATCCTGTCGAAGGAGAGAGATACCTCGACTTTCTCAGATTTGCTGTGTTCTGTAACGGTAGGATGGGTTGCTTTGGGTCTTTAAGGTCCTTACTGAAACTGCATAAAAACAGACGTGTAAAATAGTGAGGCGTCCCAGCGTTTCCGTGGAGGAGTAAATGGGGGTAAAGAAATTGGACATTTTGTAACCAGTAGTTTTTTTCACGGTAATAAAATACTTGATAATATTTATTTTGACCGTGATGCTGGGCTTTCACTATTAAATTACAATTTTTAGGCACTTGCATTCTTGCTGTTTTATGATTAGATTCTAATAATAGCTAGGATCACGCCTTCATTTCCTATAACGAGCTGACAGAAATGAATATTCATGCCTCCGTCATGCTTTTCTGTACTGTGCAAATTTCAAGTGTACAGAAAGAAATGCAGTGTCTCACTAGCTGTCTTACAGAAGCTGGTCATTTGGATTCAGCTCCGACTCTGCTGCTGCCTTATTTGGTTTTAGTTATTTTTCTTTAAACACAAAGCAGTTTGTGTCACGTCTGTGTGCTTAGGTCTCCATGTAGTCAGCGTTTGTCTCCTCCTGCCCCGTCTGCTCTCAGGGGAGAGTGTGGAGGAGAACGCCAACGTCGTGGTCAGACTGCTCATCCGGAGGCCTGAGTGCTTCGGCCCCGCCCTGCGGGGGGAAGGTGGGGACGGTCTGCTTGCAGCCATGGAAGAGGCCATCAAGATAGCCGGAGACCCTTCTCGCGATGGTCCCTCCCCGACCAGCGGCTCCAGCAAAACCCTGTAGGTTGAATACATACCCTCCTAGGGGTAAAGTGCACTGCTTGACTTGAAGTTTTACAGGATACAGTTTGCAGTCTCCTAACTGCAGCGTGACCCTCCGGTGCTCTTGGTTTCTCCCCTTGAAAATCAGATGTGTTTTGGAAGAATGGGTGGAGTTTGTTACAAGGATACATTGGATGAGCAGAGAGAGACCTCGGGAAGATGGCGCGGATTTAGTGGGAAGAAGTTCAGGTTGCAGGGGATGCACTGTGTGAACGTCCCGAGGCGCTATGGCAGAGGGAGTTACTGCTGATGATGGCAGGCGGGCCTTTGAAGTTGGAGTAGCATCTACTGGGAGGCTGACTGGAACGAGTTTTCATGATCACAGTCAGAGAGAAGGAGACTTAGCAAGAGGGTGGGGTCTTAACTAAACTGCTATGTTGGCGGAGCTCAGAAAAGGGGATGTTGTTATTTTGAAGAGGAAAATGCTTTGTCCAGGTATTGGTGACAGACAGGGGAGGCAGCAGCAGCCTTGCGTTCCTCCACAGTGTGGTGGTTATACGTGTTTCCAGCAGTAAGTTAATCCAGGCAAGTTGCTTCTTACTTTTTTAAATTGGTGGAGGTGAATGTCCTGCTAGGGGCATTGTGACCACACTGCTAGCACCACTAGTGAAAATATAACAGAATCCAAGCAGAGATGAGCTCCTGCAAATCCTTGGTCTTCCACAGATAGTCCAGGTATAAATGTTCTGTCCACGCCAAAGCCAGGGTTCCAGGCTGGGAGCACTCCTAGAGCATGTTACGTACATGTCAGTCAGCCATGCAGGAGCTAGGGATGTCTTAGTCTCCCTAAGTAGTAGAAAATGCATCAAGAGATTGCTGGTCAGGTACCACAGGGGCCGGCGTGCATCTGAAGGCCTGGGGGACAGCCTTACACGCTAGGAACAATACTGTCCGCAGGCTGTGCTGTCACTCTGCAGACAGCTGAGTCCTGTGGAGGTGCTGTCTGCCAGACCACCAAAGGAGGCATGACAATCGTCCTCGGCCACCCAGATTTGTCTCTCATCAAGGAGATGATGGAATACTTGGGTTTTTCTTACAGAGATGGGAAGGGAGACTTCCGATTACTCGGGAGGGGGTAGGTGGGTAGAGCAGAGAGGGAGATGAGTGAATGAAATCACGTGTATTAAGTACTCTGGGCAAATCACTGCCCTGGGTGCCTTGTATGTGTCACCTTATATGACAGAGCCTTGCCACCCTCGCTCTGAAGGTATGCTGTTTACGAAAGTAGTCTCAACTTACCAAGTCCTTCCATCAGTGTTTTTCTTTGTTAATACCCTGTCTGTCAGTAGAAATGAGCAGACTCCATCAAATTAGCAATTCCCCTTTTTTCCTTTGGAAGGAATTTTAATATGAAAGTTCCCACTAGTGTGTTCTTGGCGATAGAGTCTCAAATCGCATTTTAACCTGCTTTTCTTTTCTTTTAGAAATGTCAGGCTATAACTTAAGCACATATATGAAACATGTCGGAAGAGGCAGAATTCATTGCCATACTAGTCCCTTTCCTCTGAGAAGTATGTAATGAAGCTGATGTCATTTTATTTCCTTTTTGTTTTTCTGTTTCTCTTGAAAAACCCATGAAAGTGACCCAGAGGAGGAGGAGGACACAATCCACACGGGGAATGCCGTCATGACCTTCTACTCGGCTCTGATCGACCTGTTGGGGCGCTGTGCCCCCGAGATGCACGTGAGTGCCCCAGGGCCGAAACAAGGGCCCTGGCTTCTGTCTCTGTTTAGAAGTCCGTGGCTGGCAGAGATCACAAAAGCGTCCAAAACCGATCATCTTCATGCTCCATTAAAACAGTAACTCTGCAACCTAATTGCTGAACAAGTGTTTGTCTGGAAATGTGTTGTTTATCTGGAAATGAGATTTCGGTATGAGTCATTAATAGAATAGTCTGTTCAGTACAAGTATATCTCTGACACTCGTATGAGCCTCCCCACACTTGGGGAAGGAAAGAACATCGTTTCCCTCGACAACGCCCTGTCCTGTCCAGTGCACGCGGAAAGCCCCGCCCCTGCCGGGAGTGCAGCCCTTCCTGGGCAGTGCTTCGTCCTAGTGCGGAAGCTGTTGCAGGCTAGCCCCTGTCTGGGGGAGTGGGAGTGGGGGGCAGGTTTAGGGGAAGGGAAAGAGCTATTGAGACCCTATTGGTTCGCGTTTTGTAAACTTTCTGACCAGAATGAAGTTGAAGTTCGTGGAGCAGTACTTACTTTCATTCTGTGATGCATTCTGGGACTTTCTACTTCTTTGTTGTCATTTGTTCTCTTTTCTTCTGTTATGCGCATTCAAAACTTGATAGCCAGGGCCCATAAAATTAGCTCCACGATCAATTAGCTTCTGTTGGAAAGCAACAGAGCCTGGAGCACAGGGGCCAGAGCTGGGGGAGAAGGCAAAATACCCTCTGAACTGCGCTGAGCGCTGAGCGTGAAGCCAGGGTGACTGTGACTTACCACCTTTCTCCTGTCCTTCGACTGTGTGGGGTTTTGGGGATTTTTTGTTTCTTTGTTTCTGTCTTTTTCTCTTACACCTTTCCCCCTTTCTGGATGTAATCTTTTGTTGTGAACAGAGAGAAATCAGAGGATGAAGAAATATTAGAACGTTAGAAAACCTGGAGTCTGATTTTTATAACAACTTAACTTGCTGCCAGTGAGGTTTTCACAATAGATGGGAAGATTATCAGAAATTTGTGTGCTGGAGGTGATGGCAGACAAAAACTCACAGTATTTGTTCTTTTCCTGTTAAAGTGGAAGGTCAAAGGAATCAACAGAGAAATTATGCTAACAAATCGAAAATTTTTGTTACGTTGTATTAAGGGGCAAAACAACTAAGTGACTTAATAAGGACCACCTTGCCTCTTCTGAAATGTATTCATCTTCAGCAGCCATTGACTGAGGACCTCCCAGGTTTTAGAAGCTGCTTGTGTCTCACGCCCTGTGATGAAGGAAGCCTCCCGTGCGGTCTAGAGGCTGGTTGAGACCCTTAACTGTGGCAGGCCCTTCATTAGCCCGGGACGGTCCAAAAGGCCGTTAGGACGCGGCTTCACCATCTCCCCGCGTTACAGACCCGCCCTCGGGGTGGGATACAGATGGACGCTGTTACATTTCATTACAAAACGAGGAAGAGGCTGAATCAATCATAAATAGTAGTATATATTCTGAGCCTAAAAATAAGAATTTTTCCTTCACATTACTGTTCATGTTATGGACAACTGTAATAATAGCTTGTGTTGTATTTAAGTAGGATTTTGAGGGGCAAGCATTCACACACTTATCATAGTCTTCAGGGACTTCAACACCCCGAAGAGGATAAAACTACGGCGCTCACGGGTGTGCCCGCTGCCCTGGGCTGCAGCCTAACCCCTCGGCGTTTGCCAAAGTCAGTAAGAGCTGTGCGGGCCAGTGAACATCTGTAAGCCTGAAACAGCCATTTCTGAGAGAGGCTCAACTTTACTTTTTATTTTTAGTTTAAAATTTTTAAATTAAAGTATAATTGACTTCCAGTATTACGTTAGTTTCTCGTGTACAACATGGTGATTCAGCGCTGTTATAGATCACGCCCGTTTACAGTTAGTATGGAACGCTGGCTGTGTTCCCTGTGCCGTACAACACATCCTTGCGTCCCGTTTGTTTCGTACATCATAGTTTGTACCTCTTAACTCGCTGCGCTTCTCCTGCGCCCAGCTTTCCTCTCTCCACTGAAAGCCACTGGTTTGTTCTCTGCAGCTGTGAGTCTGTCTCTGTTTGTGTTACATTCACTCGTTTTATTTTTTGGATTCCACATAGAAGTGATATCATATAGTATTTGTCTTTCTCTGACTTATTTCATTAAGGATAATGCCCTCCCGGTCTATCCATGTTGTTGCAAATTGCAAAATTACATTCTTTTTTTGATAATAGAGCAGCATTCCTGTGGGGGGGGTGTTCTTTACCTGTAGATGGACACTGAGCTTGCTCCAGTGTCTTGGCTGTTGTAAATAGTGCTGCTGTGCACATTGGGGTGCGTGTATCTTTCCGAATTAGTTTTTTGGTTTGTTTGTTTTCTTTGGATTTATACCCAGGATTGGAATTGCTGGGTCATTTGGTGGCTCTATTATGAAAGAGGTCTAACTTTATAATTAACAGAAAATTATTGTAGACTTGGATTACTGTCTTTGTTTTCTAGAAAGAATCAGAACGTTGATTTCTCATAGTTACTCTGTGTTCCTTTACCTTTCTGCCTGCAGCTGATTCATGCTGCTAAGGGAGAGGCCATCAGGATCAGGTCTATTTTGAGATCCCTGATTCCACTGGGAGACTTGGTGGGAGTGATCAGCATCGCTTTCCAGATGCCAACCGTAGCCAAAGGTAAGGCGCTTGTGTTCTCTGTAGTTCAGCAGGACGTGGGTGAGGGACGCGTAAACAATGCCGGCAGTATTCATGCTGTCTTTCCCTGCAGCGCAGTTACACTACGGAAGTTTCTTTTTAAAAATGAGCTATCAAAGTACGTTATTTTATAAAGTACTTTTTATTTTCATTGTTTTCAAACAGCTGTGTTTCCAATGAGATTTTGATTCTTTTCACATGACATTTCGGGCGGTTTCCAGAGAAGAGGAAATAGGCACCTCGGCTGTCTTACGGGCTCTCTCCCAGCGCTCTTTGCTCCCTGGTCCTCTCGGGCCTTCTTGACTGCAGTGCCTCCGTTCTCTCTTCCTGACAGCTTTCACAGTCACTTTTGTTCCCTTTTCAAGACTTCATTGGATGTTGTTACTACATCCATTTGTATATAACCTTCTGGTTTTAGGAGAGAACGTGATTAGACAGGGAGTGTGTGTTATGACTGTTTGCGTCCGTTAGCTATGCCCTAGAGGAGACTAGCTCTGAAAACCTCAAGTCTTGAGCTGGGGGCCGCTGTGTAAACGGAAGTGGCTGACCCTGCTCGCCCGGCAGCCGCCACGGCGGGAGGCAGTGCCGTTTCAGGAGTGCTGCCCATGCAGCCATGTCTGCAGGGCACGTGAGCAGCCAGCGTAACCCAGCGCTCGTCCTCAGTTTGGGGGAAGCTGGAGTTAAACCTGCCCCTTGGCTTTTCGTCTTCCCCACCAAACAGTTTCTTTTCCTTGTGTAAATGCAGACTGTCCTCACGTACCTCCCTTCACCTCTCTTCTAACTCATGTTCGTTTACTGAACTAGAATATCTTGTCTTTCCCTACATTCTGAGCCATAAAATTCACACTCGAAGGAAAGAGATAAGAATCTTGCCAGTGACATGCAGATTAGGGAATAAATAAATGCTGAGTTTTGCAGTTAAAATTAGTAACAACAGAGAACCAAGAGCAAGGACTAGAAGGGTGTTTAGACGTCCCTGTCAGAATCGCCCCCAGAGTCTCAGTGTACCTCATCCTCCTGCAATTGTCTGTCTTCACTGGCCTTTTAGATTTTCCAAGTTAGTTTCTTTCCTGTTCTAATTAATTGTGTTGTAATAATATATGATATTTTTGTCATAAATATGCATTATATTGTCTACCCTGGGATTTAAAGGTTTTTTTTTTTGGTGAACTATCACAATCACAATTAAAGTTAATTTTTTAAATGCAATCTATTGGTCATTGTTAAATTACTGCATTAAAAAATTTATTTATTTTTTAATTTATTTTTAATGGTGGTACTGGGGATTGAACCCAGTGCTAAACATGCACTCTACTCTGAAGTGTTCCTAGCCCTGACCTCCTGCAGTTGCTGCATTTTTTTAACCTTTTTCTGTTTATGGAGAATGTAGGCAGAAACCCGTATGTTTTTATTTTGCTGTGATATGCAGTTAAACCAGCTTTAAAACTCAAACCATAAATATTTCTCCTCTTGTTTTAATGACGGGTCATCGGGTCCTGTAAGCATCACCAGTTAGCAGTGATAATTGCTGTGATATGTCCTGTATTTCAGTATGTGAAGTTCGTCTCTAAATATTTTGTACCCTGCCCCTCAGTCCTAGCTAAGGTCATTCTCAGATGTTTTTATCATACTTGTCCCAGAACTAGAGGGTAGCCCAAAATAATAATGAAAAAAGGTGGAGCTGAGAAAGCTCAAGGGGCAGGTATCTAGTGTGAAAGCAGGTGTCCTGCTCCTGCAGCTCTTGGCCCGGACAGGTTGGGCAGACTGCTGGAGGCAGTGGTTTCAGGTGGACGGATGGGTAATTCGGGGACCACAGGGAAAAGCCCGTGCAGCTGCCCCCTCGACTCAGTCCAGTCTCCCGAAGTCTGAGAGGAGGCAGTGCCTGACTTTACTGCCCCCGTGCACCTGAGGACAGAGTGGAGATGGAGCAGCACATCCAGGAGCCCTGGTCACAGGCCCCCTTACAACGAACAAGTGTCTACAAAGCAAACTGTATTTTAAGATCGATGAGTTGCTCATCATTCCCTTAGGCCCACTCTGTATTCAAACAATAGAATCTTACAACTGTAAATGACCTATAATGTGGTTTTTAGGAAAATTGAGCTGGAACTTCATAGAGATTTTTAGTTGATAAGTAGAGCATGCTGATTTAACCTGAGAATTAAATTACCTTTGGATGGATTTTAAATCCAGTTTTACTTAGTTTAAATCTAACTGTGCCAATGACTAGATGTACAACTTGGACAAGTTCTTTAACTTCCCTAAAGGTCGGTTGTCATCTTCTGTTAAAGGAGGATAACAATACCACCGGCACAGTGTGCTTGTGAACGCCTGGGAGAGTGTGTCTGTTCCATGCCTAGCACAGCGCCTGACAGCAGCACAAGTGACAGGCGTTGTTGTTCTTGTCATTGCAGTTAAAGGGAGGACGACATTAGGTGTATTCGTTACAATTATAAGAAATGGAAGTGACTCGGTATTAGTCTTTAATTTCCTTTAAAACATTGTTATTCATTCATTTTTGTGATTCAGATATCAAATTGAATCATTGACTATGAATGAAAACAAAAACGTGAATTTGTTCTCTCAGGATGGGTCATGGTGTGGTCATGTATCCCCTCTCCCTGGGTCCTTCCTTCTTAACATTACATCAGTGTTAAAGATTTTGTGATGTATTTGCAGACTCTCCCAGTGTGTTAGCAGCAGCAGTTGGCATAATTATCACATGGTCAAACAGAAAACAAGTGCGTTCCCCAGCATTTTAAATTGACATGTGGTTTCCTAATTCTTCATGTCCGTGATCCCCACGTGACTCTGTGGTTGCACAGAGGAAGTCACTTACCTCTATAGCCAGCAAGCATTGACTGTTCATAGTGAAAACAGTATGACTGTCAGATGTGTTTGGTATGTTGTTAAATGCTATTATGACTAATGAACTGTGTTTCATTTGAAAGTCAAACTGGTTCATAAAGTCTTTTTCATCATTTTGTAATTGTCTAAACCATATTTGTGTAAATGGGCCACAATTACCAATAGGGTGCGTGAGTTTTATTAGGGTTTTAAAGAGGCTCTCATTTTGAAAAGAGTGAAACCTTGCTTTACATTTGAGCTTTACGGTATTCACTCCTACTTTAACCACTTGGATTTGGGATGCCCTTTTGTTTCCTCCTCACTGTCTGGCACAGTGCTGTGTCCTTAGCACGGATACAGGTAACAGATGGATGCCCACGTGACATTTAAATGACCTTGGGTTTAAGCGACAGTGCCATATTTCCTCAGCCAATTTTCAGCACTTGTTTGTGGGTAGTAGGAGGGCAGAAACTCACTCAAGGGATGACTGTATTTAAAACATGAGGGCTGGAAAGTAGCCATTTGTAATCAGTGTCATGAGTGGCATGACCAGTAACAGCATGTCACCTTCTCTCTTTTAGATGGGAATGTGGTGGAGCCTGACATGTCTGCGGGGTTTTGCCCAGATCACAAGGCAGCCATGGTTTTGTTCCTTGACAGGGTCTATGGAATTGAGGTTCAAGACTTCCTCCTCCACCTTCTTGAGGTTGGCTTTCTGCCAGATCTCCGGGCTGCTGCTTCTTTAGACACGGTAATGACTTCCACAACTTTTGACTCTTCGATCTCTGCTTTATGATATCCTTGCCCAGACCAACTTGTTCATTCATGTATTGTCACCTAATGTTTATTGACTAACTGTTACGTTTTGAGGCACACAGCGGGTAAACAGAAAATAAAATAGACTAAATCCTCAAGGAATTCACTGAATCGTGGAGAAAATGGACCACCTCAGGAGTAAGACGAGAATTCTGACCAGGTGCCAGGGAAGACAATAAGATGTTCATATCACCCTAATGTGGGAGATCACAGTGGCTCCTGTCCACCTCTGCGTCGACATAAACTATTGTGCTTCTCAGTAAAAGCAGTGAACAGTATTAAGAAAGTTTATTGGGAATTGCTGAGTCATACCAGTTACAGTGTCATCCTGGTGTCATCATGGGTTAACATGCACATAGGTTGAAATTTGTCCAGTGGACCCAGTGGCCCATATCGAAAATCTGCCATTATCCGTGTAAACTGTTCTGCTATGTGAGACATTGTAAAACAAGCTGAAGTTCTGAATGTTATTCTGGGCAGTATCATAAAACCGCCTTCTATTTGCAGTTAAATGAGTCTTTTTAATGGCAGAGGAAATCAGATCTTGAGTTGGCAATAGCTCCCTCATGAAAGCTATGAGAGGAGAAGTCAAAATAAAACTGAATTTATTTTTCCATTTTTGGTTGTGTTTGTGTGAAATTCTAAACCCAGTTAGTAT